CCCCCCCGGGTGCCCCCACCGTATGATGTCGATGTGGCCGTTCTTGGCGGCAGGGTGCAGGGGGCTGGTGCCATTGGGGTCCGTGGTGTCCCCCGGCTTGGGCTCCAGCAGCGCCGCACACATGTTGCTGTTCAGGAGCAGTTGGACCACCTGGCTCAGCAAACACAGACGGAGCCGGGCCCCCTCTCACTCTCCTCACCCCCTGTGCAGCCCCCCACAGCAATGGCACCATGGGTCCCCACTGCCACCCCTCCCTGGGGCTGCCCTGTGCCCCCCAGGCTGCTCCTGCACCCTCAGGGACCCCGATCCCCTCTCCCTCTCCTCCCCCCCTGTGCAGCCCCCCACAGCAATGGCACCATGGGTCCCCACTGCCACCCCTCCCTGGGGCTGCCCTGTGCCCCCCAGGCTGCTCCTGCACCCTCAGGGACCCCGATCCCCTCTCACTCTCCCTCTCAGGGGTCCCAGCACTGCAAGGACTTACCCCAACCCGGCCAAACTCGCACGCCAGGTCTAGGGGAGTCTTGCCTGAATTGTCCATGATGCAGGGGTTGGACTGGTGCTGCAAGAGCATCTCGGACTATGGAGGAGAGAGAGCCCAGCTCAGTTAGGGCAGGGAGGATGGCACGGCCCCCCACTCTGCCACTGCTGGCCCCACCGTACCACGTCGTAGTGCCCGTGCTGTGCTGCCAGGTGCAGGGGGATCTGGCCCTCATCTGATGGGATGTTCACAGAGGAACCTGCTTTCAGCACCATTTTCATGGGCTCCTTCTTGCCTTGCCAAGCAGCATAGTGCAGGGGCCGCATGCCTGTGGGTGGGCAAGACAGGCACCGTCAGCCCCCGGCAAGCCAACAGACCTGGCTTGAGCCTGCAGAGGGCTGGGCGTCATAGCCAGGACCCCAAAACTTGCCTTTGTTGTCCTTGATGTCCACGGCAGCCTGTGCCTCCAGCAGCAGCGAGATGAGCTCCGTGTTGCCGTTGAGCGCCGCATGGTGCAGAGCCGAGAACCTGGGGAGCAGCCACCGTGTCAGGGGTCCTGTGCCCTTGTCCCCTCTGCAGCCCTGCCAGCCTCTGCCCATCAGCATAGCCTTGAGCCTGCACCCAACACAGGGAGCCCATTCTCCCTGTTCCAGCCCCCTGCGTGCAGGTGTCCCTGGCAAACCTCACCTCTGTGTCCCTCTGTGGCACCCGGGGAAAATGCTGCTGCAGGGAGCAACTGTGGCCAAGCCAGGAGCTGAGCCAGGAGTGGCCACATCCCGGAGCACAAAAGAGCCAGAGGCTGGGATGTGCTGGATGGCAGAGGTGCCCCTGCCTGGTACTGGGCCTTGCCATGGGGTGAGGAAAGCCCCCAGCCCCGCCGTGCCACACGTCACTCTGTTTTCCCCGGGAACAGCCAAAGCAGGA